CCCCAAAACCCCAAAACCCCAAAACCCCAAAACCCCAAAACCCCTTTAACCGAAGCTTAGGTTGAATAAAAAGTGGTGTTAAAATATTTTCATGAAATCTCTACCTTATTTTATCATAATTATTATCATTGCCTATGACTCCTTATTTCTCAGATACCTCATGTATCTGATTCGACAGAAGATTAGTATTGAACTCCTTCAATGTTGATGACAATGTGGTAGTCTCTTTGACCAGATTTTGGAAACAGTTGAAGATATCTGTAGAATTTATCGTTAGCATTGATATATTCTCATTGAGACTAGCGACTGCTTCTAAGAATAGGAGCTCATCTAGAGTTTCGTCGTCTTCCTCGCCCTCATTGGAGTACTCGTCATCAAGGATCTCTTCATCGGTGGATTCCTTATAATCAGTATCAGACTCGTTCACAATCTCATCAGGGTCATATTTTAGGTTGATATGGTTGCTTGTTTGTTTCTCCTTTGAATCCGGTTTGGGATTCTCATTCTTAATGGTCAAGGAGCTCGATAAGGACTCCTTACCCTCCTCATTCCTCTTCATCTTGTACGTCTGGAGGTTAACCTCTGATTGGCTGACACTGTTTTCACTGGCGATTTCTGCAATCTCATCTTTCATTATGTCCTTGTTCAACATTGAGCTTTTGGACTTGGGTTCTGAAGATAAATTAGGCCAGGGTTTTAGGTATAAGCTTACTTTTAGACCCAGATTTCTTCTTTCGACAATCATGTAAGTTAGGGTCTGAAGGCAACTCAAGCAGAGGCGACTTCTCCTCCTTATTCAGTGCATCTACTTGGTTTAGTTCCAGAAGTTCCTCAATGTTTTCTATAGAGTCAGATTGAGACTGAATACTGTTTGAGCTGGGGTTTGAAGACTGCTTCGGTAAATTCTTTGAGCTACGATTTTTGGAGCTACTCTTGACTCTATCATTTTTCTTTCCTTTCTTTTTCTTAATCTTTTGTTTATCCTTCTTATGTCTTTCCCTTCTCAGCAGAGCGTTGATCTTGATCTTCCTGGCCTCATCAGGATGTTCTTCAAGGAGTTTATTTAAAATCAAATTTAGACATGACTAGGAGCTGGCACTCTGTGATACTTTGAGCAGTCGAGTCTATAATATAAATAAGAATTAGGTATACCTCTTCCTTCTTTGTAGATGACCTCGTTTTCTCCAAACATGCTTCCATCCTTGTAAACTCTGAAGGCGACCTTATCTTTAGTGGTGAGCTTTATTTGGCCTTTCAAGATAAAATACACTTCTTCGGAAGGGTCCCCTTCCTTGTAGAGTATTTCCTTTGGTGGGAGGTTGAACCTCCTCACTAAAGGAAGTGACGCTGATAGGAATTCTGGACCCTTATCCTTGAAAAACATTATCACCTTGAAAATATCTGCATGAATGTGATTTAACACTTCAGCGCGTAGACTTGACGGCAGCTCCTGAAGAAGCTTGTTCTGGTCATGTTGAGTGATTTCATTCTGGTTCGTCGTCAAACTCTTCATTCGAATTTCTAGGTCTTTTGGCAGATCATGCTTTCTTGAGAATTCTTCTATTGTCTGCAGTTTAGCTCTTAACTGAGCTCCCTTGGCATCAATGGTGGTGATGAAAGAGGACAGGTTACCGATAGTGAAAGAGTAGAACCCTACTCCAAAGACCATCCAGCAGATACAAACAACTTTCTCAAGATTAGTGTCTACAGGGATGTCTCCATACCCAACAGTTGTAAGGGTCTGGAGTGCCCAATATACAGAGTATAGATACTTAAATAGAGTTAGACTCATCTTGGATTCCTTTCTTGACGACCCAGGTGTCTGGATTAAGCTCATTAATAACAGCAATGAAGAAGTAAATTCATGCTGCGATGTGGACAAGGTACACCACAGCAATGGCTTCAGCCAGAAGCCTGAGTGTGATAATACTGATGTCATATTTTGCAGCAATTTCTTTGATCCTGTTGACATACTTAAAGACTCTAATAAACTTGAATACTTTCAGAAACTTAATAAACTTGATAAAGCTGAAAGTATTGTTCGAGAAAAGCACTTCGTAAGGAATGATGGTTCACAGATCGATGAAGAACCAAGTCCGGAGATAGTTAAAGACGATAGGTATCAATCTAGACTCAAAGTTTCCTCCAGCAGTCCTGTATCCAGTAAAGAACCCGAATATGATATCGAAATAGAATGGAATATCAAGAACGAGCGAAAAGAAATCAAACCCTTGGTCGTCAAGAAAGGCTGCGCTGTAAGGGACATATAGACCTGTAAGCATGAGTGTGAAGGTTGTTATTAGAGCCCAAAATTTGGAGAATTTCCCATTAGGGTCTATGACCATGCATCATTTCACTCCGTTATGGCCTGTATCAAACGAAAGATCGTCATTGATATTTTTGCTGACCCCAAATATTTTAATATTATCATCTACAGACTTAATGGCTTTCATGATGATAACCATAGTTCTGGCTTTCCTGATGCCGATGACCCACAGTTGCCTCGCTCTTTCGCGCCTTTTATCCTTAGAGAGGGTGGTTATTTTGGACCTCTCTTCAAATTTCTCAGGAATTGGCCTCACCCACTTTTGTGAATGCTTGCTTGTCTTTTTAAAATTAATCTTTCCAAAATCAATATGACCTATATGGTTGGGAAAGAACCCTTACCGGTAAGCTGGAATCTCAGATTTCCAATGTTCTTAGTAGAGATCATTGGAGAAGTCTTCCCTGGTGATTGAAGAGGAGATTCAGGGTCCTCAAGTACATTAATCCGTGGGTTTTCACTTGGGGTGTCTCTTCCCTTTTCCTCCTCTTCTTCATCTTTTAAATTACCAGAGATGTCACTATTACACAAGATTATACAAGGTGTCTACTGAATGGTCAACCTAGGCTTTTTTTAGATCATTTTGAAACATTTCACATAAATTTTGAGCCCAGTTAAAAAAGAAGTACTTAGAATCATCCTTGCTTTCCATCTTTTCAAGTCGCTTTGAAAACTGTTTAACAAGGTCTTTGTGCTGGTCAGGGTTGAACAGCCCTCGGTCTGGGGGAGTATGTTTGAAAATGTTATCCATGTTTATATACAAATTATTCAACCTATCTCCATCCCAGCGGGGTTTTGGGGTTTTGGGGTTTTGGGGTTTTGGGGTTTTGGGGTTTTGGGG